TATTGAGCCATACTCTCTTTGAGAGTCTAGAGAACATGGTAGCTGCTTTCCCAATGCGTTTATCCAGCTCGACATCTAGAGAGAGGGTGTCAGAGATGGTTGAGCCAAGGTACACAAAGTCATGAACAACCTCCAATTCTTGTGTGGAGATGGTAATAGAGGGAGGTGAGTCCACACCCTGGCCCATGACTTGTGTTTTCTTCAGGCTGATTGTTAGTCCAAAGTCTTGGCAGGCCTTGCTGAAACGGTTCATGAGTTGTTGGAGGTCTTCAGCAGAGTGGGCAACAATGGCTGCATCATCGGCGAAGAGGAAGTCCCGCATGCATTTCATTTGGACTTTGGTCTTTGCTTTCAATCTAGAGAGATTAAAGAGCTTTCCGACTGATCTAGTCTGGAGATAGACGACTGAACGACTAAACAACAGCAACTCAACTCCAGAGCATAGGCTGACTTCAGTATTACGGTTCGTACATAGATAGATATTAGGTTGTTACAGTAGCTCTTTTTTGTGTATTTAAGTGTGTGTGTGCATTTGGAAGGGCATTAGAATCAGAGCTGGAAAGGATTTTGGAGATCATCCAACCCAGGAGTGAGCCATAGCTCAGTGCCAGAGAGGCACACATGCACCACCACCACCAAGGCCCCCCTTTTACATTTACCTTCAGCCAAAGCGGCAGGTAGGGGAGCTGTTGAGATAGCATGCCTTTTCAAGGAGCCAGTTGGCACTGCTGGAAACCTCATAGAAACTCTCGACAGCTGATAAGGCTCAGGGTCCTGGTGTGAATGTGGAAGTGACTTTTCTAAAAGAAAAACAAGGAAGCAGGACCCTGGAGGCTACTGGAAAAAAATGGCAGAGAAACGTGTGCAGTCTGCATGTTGCTGACCCTTTAACTGGCCCAGCCCTCTACCAGTGAAGGCGCTGCAGCACAGGATACAATACCAGCATCCCTGCTGGACAGCCACATGGCCTCTGCTTTAATACTTTCAACAATGGAGAACTCACCACTTCACTAAGCAGCATTCACTTTTGCAACGTTCCTCCTGATGTGTAGCCAAGATCTGCTTCCCTGAAATTTCCACCACCTAATTCTGGCCCTACCCTGTAGAGCAGTGGTCCCCAACCTTGGGCCTCCAGATGTTCTTGGACTATAACTCCCAGAAGCCTTCACCACCATCCCTGCTGGCCAGGATTTCTGGGAATTGAAGTCCAAGAACATCCGGAGGCCCAAGGTTGGGGACCACTGCTGTAGAGAACAACAGAGAACAAGTCTTCTTCATCTGGTGCATGATGACCTTTCACGTATTTGAAAGCTATCCTTATGTCTTCCCAGTTCTCACAGGACTTAGTTTTCATCACCCTGGTTGCTCTTCTCTGGACAAGCTCTAACTTGTCAGTGTTCTTGTTAGTGCAGCCTACGATGACATTAATAATATTTCCATATTCATAATCTTTCCACATTCATAATCTTCCTTGCTGGCCTGTGTTCAGCTTCTAGTCACTAATACCCTTGGTCCTTCTCATATGATCTTCTGCCAAGCCTGGTGTCTCCATCCTATATTTATGATTAGGTTTTTTTTTTGGTATGCTGATGTAAGACTTGACATGTATCTCTGTTGTATCTCAGTTTCTTAATTACAGCCCTGGAATCCAGCCTGTTAATCTTGATCCTGTCTTCTATGGTCTTGTCTCTCCCTCCCAACTCAGTGGAATATGAAGATATGAAAAGGAGCCCCTTCTGCACTCACATCCACGCCATTTATAAACATGTGGTACAACACAGGGCCTCAGAGAGAGGGCTGGAGGTAAAAAACTGTGTAAAAATCCCTTGACTGAAGGATGCTTGAGCCACTGAGTTCAGTTACTCAGTCAGCTGTGGACCTGCCTAACTATATTATCATTCAGTCCACTTTTCCCCCATCTATTCAATTGGGATTTAATGGAAAAGCTCATCATATGCTTTGCTAAAATCGAGATGTGCTGTGCCCAGTGCGTTTCAGCTACTAACTTGGTAAAAGAAGAAGAAGATAAAGTCAGTCTTGCATGATTTATTCCTGACAAACCATTCTTGCTTTTGGGAGTTGCAAGGCTGAGAACCAGACACATTGGGTGAGAGAGGAGGAGGAGGAAGAGACTGGCATGCACCTGGCCAAACTTTGTCTGCTGAAGTGAGGTCTGTGTTTTCAAAGAAGTGGAAATGCTGAGGAGGAACAGAGAGCAGCCATTACAACTACAGTAAATGGGGGAGATACAGGATTGGGAGACACAAATAGTATAATGGGAGGAGGGTATGTAATGGCTACCAAGCTACAGGAAGCCAGATTTTGGCTGAATCAAGAAAAATGTCTTAACTGGTAGAACAGTATGACAATGGAACCAATTACCATGGGAGGTGCTGAGTGCTCCAACGATGGAGGCAGTCAGGAGAAAATTGGACCACCATCTGTCAGACCTGCTTTGATTTAGATTAAGTGCTCCTTAATTCAATCATTAGTTTGGGTGTGCTCCTTAATTCAACCCTGAGCCAACATGCACAGGTCTTGGCAGTGGCCAGGAGTACATATGCACAGTTAAAGCTGGTGCTCCAGCTATGCCTGTTCCTTGAGATGTCTGATCATGCTACAGTGATATGTGCTTTATTTACACCCCAACTGGATTATTGCAACATATTTCATGTGAGGCTGCCTTTGAAGAGTGTTCAGAAACTTCACCTGGTTCAAAATGCTACAGCTAGACTGTTGGTTGTTACTAGTTACAGGTAAACAGCCTTGTGGCTCAGTGCTTAAGCAGCTGTACTGCAGACAAAACTGTGCTCATGACTTGGGGTTCAATCCCAGGCGGCCAGCTCAAGGTTCACTCAGTTTTCCATCCTCCTGAGGTTGGTAAAATGTGGACCCAGCTTGCTGTGTGTGTGTGTGTGGGGGGGATGCGTAGCCTGCATAATTAACTTGTAAACCAGTGCTTTAAGTGCTGTGGAGTGGTATATAAGCAGCACACATTGCTTTAGTTACATGTTGCATATCATTCCCTTGTTAAAACAGTTTCACTGATTGCCAGTATATTTCTGGGTCCAATTCAAAGTGTTGGTTATGTTCTATAAAGATCTATCTGGCTTGGGCCCAGACTACATTATCCTATATGAGTCTCCTTGGCTTTTGATCTTCTGGGGGTGGCCCTTCTCTCAGTCCTGCCACCTCCACAGAACTGTTTGGTGAGGACATGAGAGGCACCTCTTCTCAGTGGTTGCTTCCAGGCCTTGAAATGCATTGTCAACAGATGTCCATTCTTTGGTCAGGCAAGGAGCTACCATTTCAGGCAAGCATTTTAAACAATAAGGGGTTTAAGGAATGTTATATTTATTGAATTTAGACATGTTTTTTTAAAAAAAAGTTTTAATATTGTTCTGTTGTGTTTTTGATATTGTTATATGTTATTTTTAATTGTTGTTTTTGTGGTGCTTTTAATGGTAATCATTGCATAGTTTTATTGACTGTGATCCGCCTTGAATCTTCTATGGGGAGAAAGGTGTCAAGTAAATAACATATATAAATATATAAGCAATGCACTTACTAAACACTTAGTAATCCATTCCAACATTTCCCTGACATCAGTTGACTGCTCTGTAGTTTCCTATATATTTTGTCATTATGTTTGTCATTATGTCAGAACTTCCTTTTCTTTCCTTTTTTGATTCCTTTGACTAAGTTGAAAGCAAAGTAAGGGAATGGAGAGTCACCTTTGCTGCCCAAGGGACTCCTCGTGGGTGACCGTTTGCCTTGGATATGGTTATGTCCTAAGGCAAAACACTTCTCACCTCAACAATAAATAATAATGTATTTTTTGCCCTCTCCATTGCTCTGGCCTCTAACACCCAGAAAGTGTTCAGAGTCTTCCTTGTGACTGAGGAAATGGGAGGGAGGCCAGATGGTCATCTTGAGATGAGACCAACAGTCCTCTAATTTTCCGGCGCTCTTTCCGGCCCCGCGGCTTAGAGAGAATGTTGGATGAGAGGCCTACCCTCAGAGAAGGGTTGAAGATGGAGCAGTTCTTCCCTTGCTCTTTGGACCTGACAGGCCTGCTTGAGAAAAGATGAAGGGTTCCTGTGAATAACAACAGTTACAAGGGGGATTTCCAAACCAAAGCTATCTGTGTGGAAATCAGTTTTTGAACTTCACTGCCTTTGTGTGAAACCATCCCTTTGGGGAAGTGGTCCTAATGTAGAGGTCATTATTTGAGAATGGTGGCAAGAGAAAATGAGGGAAGACAAGAATCTGTGTATTCAGATGATTGTTACACTCACTCTGTCTCTTTGCAAGGTATCTCGTTTTGACATGTTCTTCTGCAATATTTCTGTTCTCACATGGCATCGATGAACACAACTCTTCCACAGAGAAACAGAACCTGGTGGCATCTGGTTCAGGAAAGTGATTTCTCAAAACAAAAAACAAACAAACAAAAAACAGGAGACAAAATTATCTTTCCTCTGGATAATCTTACAGATGTATCTCAAGCTGTCCAGTTGCATTCATATGAACACGGCCGTGGCCCCAATATAGTCAGCTGAAGGTCGTTGGGAACGCAAGCAAAGTCCCTGTAATGGTAATCAAGGGCAAAACAAAATGTGGAAAGGATGTTTGCCAGCTTCCCAAGGACTGTGGCAGGGTGGGGGGTGGGAGCCAACTTCATTTCTGTGAATTCTCTTCCAGTATTTCTCTGTTCAGTTTATTTGAATCTTTACTCGCAAAAGGAGAGATCTTGACTCAAGCCTAGTGGTATATGGCTCCCAAAGGGAACTTCGGTGGAGAAGCAGCGCAGAGCCCGATGGGGCTGAAGCTGCTCCCGCTCTCTGATGAGCTGACCTCTGTGAGCTGAAAAACCAACAGAGTCCCGTGACACATTAAAACACAAGGAAATGCACTGTGCCATGACCTTTCATCGACTACATTGTTCTATTAAAGTTTATGGTTGCGTTCTAATGAAACAGTGCACTGAAGGGGGATCAACCATTACAATCAATGTCTCCATCATATCCTCTCTCTTCACATTACAACTTTGTAGCCCGCTCATGATGCAGCTCATAGAACCAGATTATACTGTCACATCATTTTGAAACCAGATTATCTATAAATGCACAGCCCAATGGTGGTTACAGTGTGTGTGTGGGGGGTCATGCTTACAGGCCCCTTACTTACTCATTACATCACGCAGGGCAACAAGATGCAAACAGAGACTCCCTCCTTCTCCCACTCTTATACAGGAAGCTGGGAAGCAGATGATTGTTCATCCAAGCTTGGTGAGTACCTTCCCTTTTTAAAGTGTCTCTTCATAGGAATACGGGAAGCTGCTGTATAATGAGTGAAGGCCATTGTGCCATCTGGAACACGACTGCCCATTTGGTCCGATAGCCATGATTCTCCACAGTCGGGCAGACCCCAGTCCTAACTCTCGTTGCACGCCCTTCCTAGTCTCTGGCGGTCTCCCATCTAAGTACTAATTAGGCCCAAACCTTCTTAGCTTCAAATCACAAGGGATCAGCATGCGCAATGGCTTTTTCTGTTGCTTAGCCATCCTCTTCCAGAAGGGTGCCAGTCTGAATGGGCACCCAACCACCAGGGTGGCAGTGGGCTCAACATGGACAGGACTGCTTTGACAAGCATGGAGAGCTTGTATATGATCAAGAGCAGCAGCAGCAGCAGCAACAAAACATCCCAGCTTGACTTGATAACAGGTATAGACGCTGGTCATGATCCCAAGATAATTTGCAGGCACTGATGGAGAAGAAAATGATAAATTGCTTATGGGTATTTCCCAAAGAAAGAAGGGAAGTTCATCAAACACAATTTTGATATGAATGTTGTCGTCAGCTCTAGGGAACTAGATAAGATTTGGAGTTATTAGATATTAGCCTGGAGCATAGTGATAACATTAGATATTATTTATCATTAAAGCTAGCCAGGAGAAAAAGAGCCATTTTCTTGTGGGGAAGAATAATGTGTATCTGAAACAAGAAGAAATCAAGGCGAGGGGGGAATGAGGAGGGAGGAATCATACACAGCCATAAATACCAAGTTTTCAATGGAGCTACTTATTTCCTTCTGTTAGCTTAGAAGGAAGTTGAAATACGTAACATTTAAGACCAACAGATTGTATGGGAGAAGAACTTGTATTTAATGAAAGGCTCAAGACTGTGAAAGCATTTGGAACACTTAATGTAAGGGGCATAAAAGATATGTTCATTTGCAAGCTACTTAGTTAGTTAGTTAGCTAACTAACTAGCTAGCTAGCTAACTAGCTTGCTTGCTTGCTTGCTTCTGGCTTTGACTGAAGAAAGGAAGTCCAAACTATCCCAGTCCAGCACACTGTTATCTAAGTTTCAGGTTTAAGAAAGGGAGGAATTTTAGACCCAATATCTGAGTGATATCTCCGAGTCAAAAGCTGCTCACAGTTGCAGGAAGCCCCAGCCATGAGACAAAAACCTAACCATAGTTGTTGGATTCCATATACAGTACTGTATTCATGCCTGTCTTTGAAGGTATCACAGATGCTGCAGCTAATACAACATCCAGTAAATACCGTGTTGCCTGGATCGTTGTGTAGAAATCTTATGAACTCCAAGGTAACATTGCTCCCCATACATACCAGCCTGATTATAAAGACTGGGGACTATCCTCCGTGCCTCATCACTGGGACTCATGAAGCATCTGCAGACACAGGAGAGGGCCCTCTTAGCTATAGCAGCTAAGCTTGCTGTCTTGCTGCAGGCTAATGGGGTCCTAAATGCCTCCTTTTGGTCCTATACTAAAAGTTCGTTGTTCACTGAGGGTTTGAGGCTCTGTTATCATTTGCTTTGGGTCTCTTGTAGGGCAGGTTATTGTTTGGTTTTTGTCTTCAGTGTGGAAGAGATTGTCACTCTCGAATTGGCCTCCTCAGCCACACTAGGCGCTGTTCCAAGTCCTCCATACAGAGCACGTTATCATAGTCTTTCGAGACTGAAGGATGCCTAACCTGTTTAGTTTTGTTCATTTGATTTAAGATTGCTTTACTGATTCGACCCACTTCCAGATCTTAAGCTACAGGGTTGAATTAAAGTGTTTAAATGCCTACATCTACGAATTTCCATGCAAGGGGATCTTGAGCAGGGCATCTTTAAAGTCTCCCCACTCACCCACCCCAGAAAACACCCCTCACAGGTTTGGGTTTTCCCAGGGAATGGGCCAACAGTTTTTGGAATGAAGTGAACCGTGTTTCATTGGAAACAGATCTTAAGAGAAGTCAGTGGCCATCCAAGTGCTACTGCTGAAGGAAGGGGAAAAAACACAACAATTCCAAGGCTTACCTGAGGGAGAGAGGCTCCTTCTGAATTTATAGCTGCTCCTCAGTCTCCTGCAGACTTCACATGCCCAATGGCAACTGCAAAATATGGCCAACGCAGTAACAGGCCTATCTTTGATTGTGTGTAAATAAAGACAAGTTGAACTCTGGACGCAAACAGAAAGTTGGGGCAGGTTGAGACAAATCAAGCTTCCTTTCCTCTGAGGACTTATGTCCAGATGTCAGATAAAAATCAATAACACATACAAAGTAGTTGGGGGTGAGTGGCAGGTCCTAAGATTTCACCATAATCTTTGCACCATTAGGAACGGGAGCCTGTGCATGCTGGCTGAAGCTGTTATCATTTAGCAGATGCTGCTGAAGGAAGATACTCGCTCCCTGCCCCTCCCCCCCCACTCCAGAAATTGGTTGCAATTATCATTCCACCCCAGGAATGATAATGACAACCGAGAATTAAATTTTGCAGCACAAACCACAGCAGGTCTGGAGCATGGCAGCCAGGTTGCCAAGGGGAGCCAATAGATACCCAGCATGTCTCCCCAATTCTGGCCACCTTACACTGGTTACCTGCTTGTTTCTGTCCCAGCTTCAAAGTAATGGTGCTAACCTATAAAGCTTGGGACCACAGTACTTGGCAGAACGCGTATTCCCAGCTGGGGCTGCTCAGAGGCAGGACGGCTGAGGATGTTGACTCAGAGAGAGGTCGGCAAAGAAAAAAACAGGAAATCGGGCCTTCTCTGCAGTCGCTCCTCACCTCTGCACTCAGCCATCATCTGGCATTCATCTGGTCTCCTTGTTGGGTACTTGGTTTTTCAGCAGGCATTTCAAAACATGCCACCTACGGAACCCATCTTATTTAATATTTACTATTTTGCTATAGCCAAAACATTAAAAGATTGTCGCCAATTTTAAATGCTCTAGTTGTTATTTTGAAGATTCTATAATGTATTTTAACTGCCTATTCCTGCAGTGCATGGGTCTCCTTTAAATATCTTTTGTTGGCGCGGACCACCAAGACTTGACTCAAGATTTAAAATGGACCACCAGGACATGTTTCAAGATTTAAAACCCTAAAATGCATCAAATATTTATTTAAAATTTCTCATGACAGATATTCCTTGCTAGAAGGACAACACTTTTTAAGATGACGGAGGGGAAGCGTCATTTTGCTTTGAAGAGGGTGCACCCTCATCAACAGCATCGGTTCTTTTGCGTTTGTTTTCATAACCGATTTTCAGAAGAGAAGCTGAAAGAAAGCTGAGCCAGATTTTTCAAATGCTACCCCCTTGTCCCTCTTGCGCAAGGACAGAGCTCAATAAAGACATTGGGATGGTTGCTGGAACAAGAGAGGGAAAACTGGGAAAGAGGGAGAGCTTGGACAGTCCAAAGAAGAGTGTTACTTCTGTGCTCCACCTGCCCGGAAAATATCCTGTTGCACCAACATACTGTATAAGAAATCGACTATTTAATAAAGTCACAATTCTCCTGACTTTCACTGATTTCCAACCAATTTCCCTGACTTTCCTTGACTAACATCCATTCCCCTGACTTTCAGAAAGTGGCAACTCTGCAAAGGGCTTCTTTTCATATTCTTTGTGGTTCTTTCTGAAAATCAGAAATGAAGAGGTCAACACTTGTTTTTGCAATTAAGAAGTCCAAAGAGGCAAAACAAGTCTTGGAGGTAAATACTGAGGTAGCAAGCCCTGATATTTCAGCTGATTTAATGAGGCATGCAATAATGATTTAAGCAGACCTACTGATGAGAGAGTCCTGAAGGGGAAAGTCTCTTGATCTATATGTCTATAAGGCTGGGGTCCTTGAAGAATGGTGGTGCTGGAACCTCAGACATTTCTGCAGGTCTGATTCACAGGACAGTCAGTCTCCATGCAATACACGGGAACACCCAATCCCCAGGAGAAGGTCGCTGGTTGTGAGACGGTTGTCCCTCTTAAGCATTGAGAAGGAGAGTTCTCTTTCAAGGATTATGAGTAGGGGTTCCATTCCCAAGCTGGTGCCAGCCTTGACTCATTTAATGTGAAGCACTAACACATTTCTTAGGTGGGACTTGGGGGAGAGAAACAACTGGCGCACACACTTGGATTCTGTGCTGTTTGGAGAAAGGCAGGGAAAAGAGCATCAGTGTTGTGACTACTGGGGCTTTTGTTGCACACGCCCAGACGGGGTTGGTGGAGGACTTGGCAGGGGTGGGATGGGGACTCACTGTGGGATGGCAATGAGCCTTCCATAGGCTCTGAAGTTATTTGGGTTTTACCTGGATTCGGGGCCCATTCATCAACATTCCTGTTATATCTACAGTGTTTCTACAACCATCTGGCCTAGAAGCAGTTCAGGCTCTCTCCTAACCTTTGCTGTCTTCCACCTGTAAGACATCGCGAAGGCCCATCCCATATAGGGGAACATTCATAAGGACGAAACGCTGAGTTGACTTGTGAAGCAGGCATGCTGCTACTGTGGGCATGTTTGAATTCCTGTCCTAGACAGTGCGTTCCTTCTTCTACAGAACAATGTTGTCTCACACCACTTAGAGCTGGAACGTGTAACTTTTTCTATACAAGCACATAACAGAGTAAAACAGAACTTTTATTTTGCTTTAGATATTTCTGTAGAGAACTCCCACCCAAAATTACCGTACTCTTCCTTGGTCTCCTCCATCTCCTCTTTTATAACGTGTCCAGCAATACAAACTTCTCAAAGCATTATATGCTTAAGTGGTCATGCTGCCCGGGGGGGGGGAGGGATTTTGAGAGTTGTAGTAAACGAAAAAAACCCCCAAAAAACAACTTCCCTAAATCAGCATAACAAGTGCTCCTCACTAAGCAAAAAAGACAAAGGAGTAACACATCCACATTTTAACTAGGAACTCAAGACATCAAACTTTCCTAGACAACTTTCATTTATTTTGCTTCTTAAAAGATACTTCCAGACTAGCAAAGTAGATTATCGGTCATCAGGATAACTTGGTAAAAATTTATCTAGCTGGGCAATTGTTCCGTTGAACTGCAGGGCTTCTTCCTACTCCACGTTCTCATTACGTTCACTCTAAGAAGCCTTTTCGTGGCCACACAAGGTCCGAGAGGAGAAGAGTGAAGTTTGAGTGACTGCACAGCAGTGGGTTTACCATAGTGTTTGGATACATTCTACTGCCTTGTATTGTGCAACAGCGCTTGTCTGACAGGGCAAGGGGTGCCCTTGGTATCAGTCTGAAGGCTAGGCAGTGAAAGATTGTAAGGCCTGGAGAGACATTTTACAAAGAAATAGGAAAATGTTCAGTGTCCTTAGTTGGGAACTTTGGAAGAACTGGAAGCCGCATTGCTCCATGAGGAGCAGAATTTCATAAGAACTATGAAGAACTTGAAGGTGAATCTTGCCTCTGTGTGTAGACAAAATATAACTGAGAATGAATTAAAACTGGCGTCACTAGACAGTAGGACACGTAGTAGAACACAACACATGGAGCATCCTGCAGATTGAGTGTTGATGGTGTACAGTCGATTCTTCTGTCACAGATCCCTCTTGTGCTTTCCAGACTCAGTGTCTGTCAACACTTCTTTGCAATGTGATAAATTTCAGATACAATTCTAAGCATGCAAATTTATTTGCCAGCACGCAGTTCAATATGAACATACAGACAGCCATGACAGATCAGACTAAACACCTGTTGAGCCCAGCATTGTGTTCATGGAAGAAATGAAGATCATGATTATAGCAGCAGCTGCAGCTTCTTCTTCTGTCATTGTCTTTGTGCTCCTTACTGCCTTGGGCATCAGGAGAGAGAGAGAGAGAGACAGAGAGACATACACACACACTGGGTATATACCATCTTGACTACTAGCCAGTAATAATCTTATCCTCCAGGGATTTGTCTCATCCTCTTTCTAAGACTCTTTTCATTCATGGTAGAGAATTCCATCATTTAACAATTAGCTCCTGTGGAAATAAGTCTTTCCTTTTATCTGTCCAGGATCTTCCACCACTGAGCTTCATTTGTTGACCCCGGGTTCCACTTTTATGAGAGAGAGAGAGAGAATGCACTTTCTCTATGCACTTTCACCTGTGATCATCAGTAAGTTTACAGCTTCTGGAAGTTAAGGATTTTCTCTGCTGAAATTCAAGGGAGGCCCAGTTGCTGGAGAAATCAAAGGAATTGTGGTGTCCTGCAGGGTAGCATCCTGGCACCATTACTTTTTAAGATTTATAGAAATCATTGATCAACATTCTCGTATTCCAGGAGTTTTCATCTATGCTGATGTTCTTGCCCTGAAAGTCCAGGGGAAAACCACTGAGAACATCAAGCACCAGCTGACCTCTGCTTTAAAAGATGTTTCCTTGTATTCCTTGTACTATAAAAACAACCAGTTGACACCAACCCCTTTAAAAGCACAGAACTGTGCCTTCTGGACAGGAAGCTCCAAGTTAGCTGAGAAGGCAGGATTTTGGAACAGAGAGGAAGCCCTGAGTCAGCTGGGAAGGCAAGATTTTGGAACAAAAATATTTGGCATTGCTCTGGATCAAACCCTGACCTAAAAAATTACCTATATACCAAACAGAAGGTTGCCTCCTGGGTCAGATTGGAGTGCATTCCCACAAACAATAGGAACAACAGGTTTTTCCCTGTGCTACTCCACAGGAGAATATGCTAGTGCCATATGATATAAAACAGCACATGCCAAACAAGTGGTTGTAGCTGTTAAGGAATCATGCAGGATTATTACCAGCTGTCTAAAACATACTCGTATTTTAAAAGTCTGTTATTTGACTGGTATTGCCCCTCTAGACATATGTCAGGAGGTACTAGCAAATAATGAAGGGAATAAGGTGATACAACACCAAGCCCATCTACTTCATGGACACCAACCTCCTAGATGATGACTCAAATTGAGGAAAAGTTTTCTGTGCACATCTCAAGCTCTAAATACTGTATTAAACCAAAAGAAACTAAGCTAAACCTATGGTGAACGAAAACAGTTGCAGTCCAAAACTCCTGAGTAACCCAAGGTTAAGAACCAGTGCCCTAGATGATAACTCAAATTGAGGAAAAGTTTTCTGTGCACA